ATATTTTCTAAAATTCCTTTTAAATTATAAATTCAAATAAACATTGTAAAACGTATTACTACAAATGTATCTTTCATTTAACGATATATAAAATGTATAAAATAGAACACCCTTGGAGCAATCGTTATTATTACTACAATTTTTGTATAATTTAGAAAGTTAATTGATTTGACAAATGAAAAAAACATCAAATTCAGTCTTTACTAGTTTATATTACAGAAAAACTTCATTATATATTTTTTCCTTTTTTTAAAAACTGACACTAAAATTGAAATAATCCTTTAAAAATTCACGAGTAACTACTTCAATGGTAGTTTGCCTGTAACAGATTAAATATTTTTTTACATTTTACTCGTTTTCCTGATGATACAAAAACAATAAACAATTTACTGTTATCATTTCGTATTACAATATTGCATTAAACAAATTCTTAACTAGTTTTTATTACGTATTAATAAAATTAGCAAAGATTTAAATTCTGGTATGGAATTATTTAGGCCGACTTCGGAAATAAATAATTTAATATTCAATGGCCAAAAGATGTTGTCGTTTAGTAGTGTTAATCGTTACTAATAAAGAAATTTGTTTAAAATAAAAATAGTTAAATGTAAATCAAATGCTTTGACACTAATATTTAAAAACATTCAAAACGTGAATTCAACCGATTTGGCAAGTGAACCATTCATTTATGTATCACCTTTAATGCACAATGCATAAATCCTGTTTATATATCTCCGGCATTTCGCGAGGAGTCAACGAAAACCATATTTTTCTGTCTCCGAACGTTAATGTGTTAACATCGGCCCCATTGTTCTTCCAGTGCTCCCGGTCTAGCAGCAGGTTTCAGGCCAGTCGAACCACCGACGTCCCTCTTTTTTTCCCCACATTTGGCGGCGCAGTTTTCCCCGCCGTTGTTCGGGAACAAGGTGGTCAGTAGTGCGCCTACATCGTTGACCTCGACGACGCCATCCCTGTGGACAACGAGCGACCATCGGCCGGGCAGCCTGCAGGACATGTTGTCCTGGTCGTCGGCGGCTTGGCCGGGCTCCGTTTGCGGTTGCTGCAAACCTGGGACCGGCGATCTCCACAGGAGCAGCAGCCTAGCGGAGCTGAGAAGAAAGGCTCAGGAACATTCGACTGCGTCAGCTCTGTTAGGCGGTCTAGCCGGTTTCCCTGGCGGACTGCCGCTGCCATTGCCTCTACCGTTGCTGCCACCTTTGCTAGGGCTTTCAAGGAGGCCCGATCATCACCACCATCACCTGTCTAGTATGGTGCATCAGATACAACCGACCACGAAAGAGGATCCCTAGGATCATCCTCTGATCAGCACTAATTGAATCGTTTGGCCTCGACGACCCTTGACTATCTGGGCACGTATGAGTTTCTGGATACTGATCTTTTTTGCTGGTTTTCACCCTCGTTCCGCGAATCACAGTATTTTCGATACGGTTAGGGATTTTTGTATTTGACAGTGTCGTGGGAGTTGTAATTTGAATTGAGAGGATAGGGTTGGTGGAAAACTGTTCGTTGACGAATGGTTCTTAGGGCTCGGTAACAAATTAAGAAACTGGATTTTATAATTAAGGAAAACGTATTAGGTTTTTTTTGTGGCAATTTTGCAATGTGATTAGTTTTGATATATTCATTTAGTTGAATTTCTGTTAGTGAAAGTAATTTTGAGGAGATTTTGATTACTTTTGTATTATTAATTGAGAGAAACATTCTCGGATATTAGAGCATGTTTTAATCATTGATACGGATGTTGGGACATTGTTCATTTGATAATATTAATTTAAATATTTGGAGAGGGAAGATGATTTTCTATTTTTCCTGCTACAATCCGTGGAAATTTTGTGATTTTTAATGTCGCGTCGTGTTTCTGATTTTCATTTTCAATTTTACTTGTAAAACTGAAAATATTACAACTAAGTGATTGTAATTAAAATCTGTATATTTATTGCTGCTTGCAAAAAAGTAACGTTTTTTAATCATATCGAGTATGTCTAACCGTATTAAAAATATTGTATTCCTTTCAGTATTTATCATTGTGTCTGTATATATCAGCACCGAAAGTGTCGCAAGATTTTCTTCTATCTTTACTTTCCAATCATCACATGTTTAATCACATTAAATCTAAATATTAGTCTTTCAGAAAAATCAATGTTTTTAATGAAAGTTTTCACAGAGACTTAATCAAAACGCGATACAAATCAAAATGTTTAACCGAGTTATTTGTCAGTGAAACTAACAGAAGCTAAAACTCTTTCTAAAATTCTTTTTAAGACAATATCAAAAAATAAGATATTTATTATATCTTCATCGCAAACAAACACTCAAAATTTATTACGAAGAAATGTCTGTTCAACGAAAAGTTAGTTAAATATAAACATAAGAAAACGTGAAAAATCTTGAATGCCTCGTTATGTTAATACTAACAGTGAGTACAATATTTTATTCAGTATGTCTGAAAATATTTTCAATTTAGATTTAAATGAAAGAATGTAATAGATGTCACGTCAGCATTCCGTATAAAATTTCCGAGACCCAGTAAATCCGTTACAAAGCAAATATGTTAATGCATATTTGCAAAAAGTAAAAGATCAATGTTCGCCAGCACGCTGCGGCTAATTTCGTTCTCTTAGATCAAAACTGAAGAGGAATCGCGAAGGACCAATACGTGCCTGATGTGCTCTGTAATTAATTGTTCGACAAGCGATGTCTAAATTTCTGTCTGTGAAACAGCATTCGAATATCCGTGATTGTTACGCAAATAATACACGAGGCATTACAGTCAGGTTTAAATATTAATACTTATTAATTGTTTTCCATTTATACGAAATGAATATCCGCATTATCGCGAAATTCTAGGTAAAACGATAATTCAAATTGAATTGCGACGCATGAAAAATATAGTACAACTATACAGAAAAATCTGGTAAAATAATATCATTATTTTTCAGATCTGACTTCAACGAGTTCATTTTTCCAAACATTCTTTGAATAAATGAAAAGTAACATTTTCTACGAATTTCATCTGAACGAATTAATTATTAAGATTTTACTGTTTCAATATTTTTAATACAAATGAATTCGAACACACTCGACAATACACTATTTTGAAGTTGATAGTACTTACTCTATCATTAAAATATTTTCTCATCGAAACAGAAAATATTTTTACCTTCTGCTTTGCGATATTATATACATAATATTAAATACTTCTATTATTATTTTTCAAACTTCTAACATATTCTATGTTATTACTAACTACGTGAAAGAGTCAAATTAATGTCTGAGTTAATGCAGGATGGGTCACATGATTCACCTAATAAAATGAATTTCCTCTACCGCAGTTGGAAATTATTTATAACTCGATCCAATGATACCATTACATTTATTCTCATGCAACGGTCAAGTATTTTCACTTCAATTTAAACTCACAAAAATTCAACACGCCATAGTCCAACTCGGATCAGTTGTGCGCTGAGGATAATTTGTATTGTAATAGAATAATTTATATTATCACCCCCTAAATCGAGTCTACGACAATTTTCTTGAATTATATGATTACTCTATCATATTATTCAAATAATACGGATATCCGTATTATCCGAGTAACACGGATGTCCGCTCGAATCGCGCGACGCGAGCACGCGCCAGCAGGAATAATATTTCTATAAGTGGAAATTGATTTTTCGACGGAAGGATATCGTTGTGGAAACGCATCGTTTCGTGGATATTCGAATGCGAGGATATTTGGATAAACGTATATGTATATACGTATGTATACTCGACCCTGAAACAGGTATCTGGAACTTGGAGGATTCTTAGGACGAATTCTAATGACATATTATAATCACGTTGAACTAACTACTGAAATTTAAATAATTTTCCCAATTCAGAAGTTTCTGCATGATATTCGTCAATCTTATTACCTAACGATTCAGACTGAAACCTCGTCGTGGGATCTGCTAATTATTCAGAATTAATTTTTGCATCGCAGTTCTTGCTACTGGTTTGAATAATGAACTTAGGTCGATTTTTAAATAAAAAGGTTACAGGTAATGATTCGTGGAAAAAGTACCTGCCAAATGGTTTTTTATTAGTTTCTTGAGTATACACACTTAAAATTTTATTGTTGATACAAATAACAAAAGTTTTTCAGTTTTAGAAAAATCAAATTCAACCAGAATTTAATGTAAAGTTTGTAAAATGGATTGTTAGTGAATTGAAATTATGAATAATTAGATTCTCATTAAGACTTTTGTTTATAAAATATTTCTTATTCAATATAGGGAAAAGGAAAGCAGGAAATGAAATTAAAGACTTGTGAATCAAGTGACCAAGTGAAAAATATTATAAATATATTATTACGAAATTTGTGTTATTTATAAAACATTAAAAAATTCTAGGCGCAGTAGGTGTAGCTTTAAAGTTTCAAATCCGACAGATTTTACTAATATAATTCGCATCATTTAACGTTTAAAATTAAAAAATGTAAAAAAATTTAGTTTTACAGCTTTCATATACAAACATTTTCTACCACATATTCATAGTATTTGATTAAAAAATTTGCTCTAATAGAGTTTAAAAAACCAAATAGAAAACATTATCTAACACCTTCAGTAAATAAATCTACTAAATCAAATACATTTTTAGTATCATTCTCGACAAGATTTCATTAAAAATTGACATATCCTTTACCAAAAATTATTCTACTAACATACAACAAATTATTAATTAAAAAAAGGAGAACAAAAAGATGCTTGACTTGAAATTAATTTCTATAAACTCGACCAACGCTATGAAAACAATTGATTAATTAATCAGTTAACTGCGTTTAACGAGTATACACGTCATCGTAAAGCTTGAATTGCTACTAATTGTTTCGACGATGAATTATTTATTTTTTCAGATAGATATGTCATTCTTCTTTGTTTTCCTTTGGTCTTTCATTACAATATATCCTAGGTGCATTTGTCCTGTGCAACATTTTTGATTTTATTGTGCGCAGAATGAAAGATTTCCAAACTAAATTGCACAATTAACAGGTTAAAACAATGACTATTTTTTCTCCAGCTTCCAATACCTGTCCGAAAAATCAAGGGTATCAAGCGTCATTTACGATCACGTTACACGATCTGAGACGAGATCATACGTTAACTGATGATTAACCATGTGTCGACGGCTGTTCGTGCATGCCTTACGAAACAATTGTCAACGATGTAACGGTCGGAATTTAACGAAAGTTAAGGGGGAACCACTATGCGAGTACCGTTAAAGAAAAAAGAAAAGAATCATAGAATTCGTATCGAAGCGTGTTAAGACTAAAACGGAGCACGAAGAACAATGGTACGAATGCTCCGTGAATGATTGTACAGAATTTTCGCCTAATAGTGATGCCAGTTTAATATCCCTTCAATTATGCTCGTGACGGTAACAATCATTTCGTTTGCGTTGCGATACGATTACCGTTGTTCTTCAGAATCATGAAATGAGAGGTACAATGACGGGGGACACGTAGATAAAACTAGTAGAGACCTGTATATTACATCCCGGTGAATTTTCAGTGCTAATCAAGGATAATCTAATAAGAGTATGTTAACAGACTAGCGACTATTATGTAGCTTGAACTGTGGGTAGTGAATTATCGAATAAACTTGTTCTCTCGTGATAAAAGCGTGTACAATGATTGTCTTTGTCTTGCCTGATTTTTGTCCCATCCTAAACTGCCGGAGAATAGCGTGTGTTCATTTATTTATTCTTTTTGTTGTAAATATAAAAATCGTGTTATTCTATATATATATAACTTTTACGTATTGTACACTTTTGTTTCCTAACTGAAGGGCTTGCTGGTCAGTCATTTGAATTAGGTCTGGATTAGTATTTATTTAATATTATAACACATTATTAATATTTTCTTATTATTATTATCATCATTATTACTATTATTAATATTTTATTTCTTAAAAACACAGGTAGTTGTATCATACGTAAGTACCAATTTAATATATTTTAATATCGAATAATAAATAAGGAAATATGCTGATAATATTCGTGATTCAATAGAGGATAAGAATATTTCTAAATTATTAAAGGTAAGAGTTTAATTTCTTAACCTAATTAGTTCTTAGAATATTTATATTTATATGTATTCATTGCTAACTGAATCCATAGAATGATCAATGTATTTTATGCAGTTAATTGAACTAGTTTATGTATTAAGTGCAATATAAAATATTAATTCTGAAATAATTTCTTTACATAACATTCTTCTTTCTATTTGCTAAATACCTACATTGAATGTTTCAAAGTTTAATCTATTTAACAAAGTTTTTATTTATTTATTTTCTTTATGAGTGTATAATGCCATCATGTTAAGTGGTGATTATAGAATAAGATCACTGTTAGTTGTATGACATGACAAACTTATTGTAACCAAACTCACTATCGCGAAGTCCATGATAGTATGTTGCAAAGGATCAGGTGTTCACTTAAGGGATCCCTTGAATCAACTCAGTGATCAAAGGCTATGGTGAACCTATCAGAGAGATTTACTGGATTACTAACATCTAATAGCAATTGAGCGTTGAATTGCGCGTGGTGCACAAAGGACAGGATTGATCGGCAACATGTGCTTCCTAATATATTCGTAATTAGCCCGAAACACAGCAAGCTCAATTTCAGACGGTAAACTTGCTCCCGCACCTCGCTATAATATTTGATTGATCAGTTATATTATAATAATCAAATCAAAATTATCGTTATTAAATGGTATAATTGTTACGAATTAAACATATAAACAACTGGAAGAAAATAAAATAATATTTACTAAAAAAATCTACTTTGTACTTTCATAGAAATGTCTACCAATTATAAATGTAATAATTTTATTACTAAATGTTTTAGATTACTAAACCTTAATTTTAACATTTTATTGTAAAAAATTTACATTATTAAAATTTGGTAAATATAATATATTGGTAAAAATAAAGTACTCTCTGTATAACCATTTTACCTTGTGACAGTTAACGTCCTCTAATATAGTTATGATCTACCAAACTTTGTAAAAAGGAGAAACAATAGCAGTGTGGTGAATCTGACTAAAACTCCAGATTGTAATTGGATTAAAGAAAACAAAATCCTGGAACTACAGATTCAATTATCCCCCAAATAACATCAGCTACGCTATCAGTGAAGCCTTATCGCATCAGTTTTCCATTCAAAACGTTAATTCAGTTCTGTAGTTTCAAGTTAACGTTGCCTCAAGGTGGTTTCTTACTATGATGCCACAAAAACTTCGAAATTAATATACTTAACAGTTTCCTTTAAAAAGTCCAGAAATCTTCTCATATACTTGAACACTTTCTTCGCGATAACAAATGAGACTCAACAAAAGGATTAACGAAGATAACAAAGATTTCACAAAATTAACAGATAACATAAACGCTGAAGTTATTTAATTTAATGCAATTTCTCTACTCTTAGTTCATAAATTTAAAGAAATCCAATCCTCTAACTTTGTCTCACGAACGAGTCAAATATCATTATTTCTTTCTTACTCATAACACAAACCAAAAACAATTTTACACTTGTATACTGCATTACCACAATTTTACAGACAATATAAAAAACGTATACCCACTATGAACACAAACAATCAGCAACAAACTCCAACTTCATTATCGCAAAAAGAAATCAAGGCAACAAAAATTTAAACAAAGCTCTAAAACCACGAACAAGCCGATGCCACGTAATCCGGGAAAACAACAAACAAAGTCAACCAATCCGAAGAATAACTCAAAGAAGAACAAGAACAAGAAGAAGAAGAAAGAGAAAGACCGCATCAACAGAAACTCCTCCGGGTGCAGCGGCAGTCCGCGGGAAGGGGTTGTTGGCAATCAATGCTCCTCATAAGAAAAGCTCGCCCTCTCTTATGGGATCAACCCTCCCCCAGAGTATATACGCGGAGAGGTTCCGTGTCTACAAAAAGGAGGGAGGGGATCCGTAGAAAGAGACGCGACCAACCAAGAACAGAATGGTGGGGGTAGCGTGCCTCGGTAGGGGGAAGGTTGAAAACGAGAGGAGGAATCCGAAGGCTACATAGGAAAGTCCACAGCGACGAGGACCACGTCAAGTGGCGATAAAGACCGAGAGCGACCCCTCGATAAGATGAAGCAAGAGGGCGCAGGAAAGAAAATCCATTTCGAAAAGAGGGATGTAATAGAAGAAGACGAAAGGTAGGACAGCGGGCCAAAGAGGGGAAAATCTGTTTGCGTGGGAGGAAGACGGGAGACCAGTCAAAGAGGGAAGAAGACGGGCATGAGTAAACCAGAACGAGGGAATCTATTCAACGGAGAGGGATGAAACGCGCTCCGTGCCAGAGGGAGACGCTATGAGGGGGTTGTTCCTGGCTCGACCAACCAGAGGCAAGACGCCATTGATCGGCACGTGGCTCCCGGTTGGTTCAACGGATTCCACGAGGGTGGTGGGTTGCAGCTTCTGCTTCACTCGGCTGGCAGCGTGGTGCCTACGCCAGAAGCCAGCGTTGGAGGAGAAGCTGCGGTGGTGGGGACGGGGGTGCCGGAGACGCGTTCTGCACACTCCGTTACACTTACTGGTAAACCGTATTAATCAACGACATCATGGTTTATCCCTCCGTGCCTCCCCGCCTCCGGCATCCATCTACCTCAACCTGCTAGCTTCCCTTACCCCGCGACCCCTTTTCATCCTACTCCGAACCTAGCCAGACTCCATCGCGATCTATACGCGCACTGACATAGCCTTACAGCACCCTTACCGACGGATACGGAAGGGAATCAGGGGGACGGGGGGATGGAGCAGCGAGGGGATGGAAAAGTGATAGAAAAGTGGCGTAAAGACGTGTATGCGAGGGAAGCACGGAACGAATGGGGAGGAAAAGTGGAGGAAAGAGGTCCGTGGGACGGATTGATTGTTGGCGGCGGGACGGGGGAGGT